CAACTCGGCAGATCAGCTCAAGTGCGTGGCCATCGCTAGCACCCTCCCTATGCTGTGTTCCCCAGTCATCAACAATGTGCAGGTCACCAAGACTCTCATCGACGGCGGCGCAGGGCTCAACGTCCTGTCCATCGACACCTTCGACAACCTCCAAGTGCCATATGAGCAGCTCCAGCCCACCAAGCCTTTCTTAGGAGTGACTGACGGCTCCACCATGCTGATAGGGCAGGTCCGCCTGCCTGTCACCTTCGGGGAGCGCAAGAACTACCACACCGAGCTCATCGACTTCGACGCCGCGCACATCCGCCTGCCGTACAATGCCATCCCCGGGTATCCAGCCCTGGCCAAGTTCATGGCAGTCACTCATCACGGCTACAACGTTCTCAAGATGCCAGGAAGCGGAGGAATCATCATGGTCCTGTGTGAAGAGAGAGATGCGGTGTGCTCCCTTGAGCGCGCCTTTCAAGCCGCTGCAATCGATGACCCCGACAATAGAAATGAAGGCCCTCTGGAGACCATCCCCAAGAAGAAGCATCCGCGCCGCGTAGGACCTCAGGAGGACGGCGTCGCGACAGAAGCCACATCAGGACCAGCGCCCGCTCCAGGGGCGTCTCCCTCCGTCGCATAGGAAGGCGCGCCCGGCGCCCTCCTCAGACAGGGCTCGGGGGCTCTCTTCTGGAGGGCCTCAGACCTTGCCAACCTCACGAGGGAGGCGCTTGGGCACCACTTGGAAGTGTGCTTCGCGACACGTGACCCTCGGGATAGCATAGGGCAAGGAGTGCCCACCACTCAGGAGTTCATCACCAAGACCATCCAGGAACTGCAAGAAGCAAGAGCCATGCGCAGCGACGGCCGCCCACAAGGCGCAGCTCCGCATCCTGATGAGGATGCTGGGCTACATGTCTGCATCGACGTCACTCAACAGGGTCGCATCTCAGGAGCGTTTCTGGCCTTCGCGTGTGGGCCATTGCGAGGGCCCGCCACACAGCTACGCTCGTATGCCCTTTGGCTTGCCGAGCATGGCATCGGCCTATCAGCGCAACATGCGACGTGTCGTGATGGCTCAGGAAGCCAGGTACCACGCCGTTCTGGAGGAGATGGAGACGGCCTTCAGGGAACCTCCCGAGCCCCAGAGCCTCCTGAGGCTCAAGGACCTGGCGACGCATGAGGAGTCATTTCTTCAACGCACGCCTTCAGCTGCACCAACTCTACTCCGTCTACAGAACAAGGTGACATCTTCCAAGCTCGTTTAGCTGGGAGCGCCCCTCGGGCTGCATTATTCCCAGGCCGCGTGGGTCCGTCCCTGCGACATGTATCCCTTTTGCTTATATCTTCAGCTTACCTTGTTGGGGGCGCCCCTCGGGCTGCATCATCCCCAAGATGCTCGGGTCGGACCCGGTGGCATGTACCTTCCTGCATTTGTCCAAGTTGATCTGCTCTCCATGCTTAACCTGCCAACTGCTATCACCTGCTCGATCATCGCCTCCCCCGGGGCCTCCACACAGGCACGGTGCTGGTGCATGGGTCCGTCCCTGCCACGCCGACAAATATAAGTGGTCGAGCTCTGGCTCGCGGCACGCCACGCGCACATCACCTCACCAGGCCCTCAGTGCCTTCTCCTCATCCAGAGCAACCAGAGGCAGGCTGACAGCTGTAACGACAAACATTGTTTCTTCTTGTGCCTGTTCACAGGGACCCCGTGGGAAGGATAGCAGGCGGCACCGTGAGTCTCCTTTCCTCTCGTGCAATTCGCTTGAGTGTTAAAAGGGGGGCTCCTGAGCATCGCGACTCAGGAGCTCTTACTGGCTCTCCAGCCCTCACCCCTGGCCTTGACCATGGCATCGCGGCCTGGCATACCAGCGGCGGCTGAGCTCGCTCGAGGGCCGGGACCTGAGGACGTAGAGCACTAAGGAGAGCATGAGGGGAAGGAAACTCGTATGGGCCAGCCTAGCTATGCCGCACGAGTAGGCGCGCAGCCCTAGCGCAACGTCAGGAGTCGCCACGAGATCAACAAGATAAGTCCCGCACTCGGATCGGCTACATGCTTGGGCCTAATGGTCGCTCACGCCTTGCCGCAGCCCCGTTGCGGCCACGTCAACTCCCTTTCTTGCCTTCCCATGGCTGCTTGAGCGCTAAGGGGGACCTCCCGAGCATCGCGCCTCAGGGGCTCTTACTGGACCTCGGGCCGCACACCTCCTGCCCTTGACCACGGCGCGCGACCTAGCATACCAGCGACGGTTGTAGCCTGTCTGGGGACCGGGACCTGTCGGCTTAGAGCAACAAGCTATCGCGAGGAAAGAAAGGGGGGACCGAGCCTTAACGGGACATGCGTTCACCAAATTTTCATAACAGGGAAGATAAGCACAAAGGACATTACGGACCCTTACATGCCCCCACGGGGTAATTCATGATTCATTGCAGGAAACGAAAGCCGATACTAGGAGAAATCCTATCTACATCCTTCCGTGGTGGACGCCATCATCAACAGTGGGCCACGGGAGGCCGGCGCCAACCCCATCCAGATCAGCAACAGCGACGACCGGACGCCGCAGCTCTGCTCCGAGCGCGGCGAGAGCTCGGGGGCACGTAGCTGTCGTCGCTCGTCTCCGAAGTCTCGTAGAGCTCAGGAGAGCTGTTGGACTCCCAAGGGCTGCTGCTGCTGGAGTGGTCATGAGCGGGGCGCACATCAGCCTCGCGCTCCTCTCCGGAGCAGCACTCCAGGCGGCGGCCCTCGGCATCGAAGACCTTGGAGAAGAGCGTGGAGGCGCCGTTGAACTCGAAGTGGATCGCGAGGGCGCCCCTCGCACGGCAGACCCGCGCGATCTCGCCCCAGCCGCGCATCATGAAGATCTTGCCGGTGGGGACCGCTTCGATCTCTGCTCCGGTCGCTGGGGGGCTGCAGTAGGCGTGCTGCAGCCAGAGCTCGAGAGGCCCCCTCGGCGGCATCACATCGGAGAAGAACCGAGGGAAGCGGATCCAGGAGCTCGGAGGCATCGGCGCCCACAGCACCAACTCGTGCGAAGGAGTCAGCGGCGTGAACCCTAGGGGCGAAGGCCCGCGTCGCCGTGGCGCGGCGACCCTGGATGTGGCGTGGGCGGCGCTGCTCGTCACCCCGTCCTCCCGAGCCTTCGGCTTGGGCATACAAGGGCAGCGGGTACCCCGGAGGAGGCCGCTCGCACCAAGGCCTCAACACCACCTGCATCGCCGCCTCATCACGGCGATGGATCGACCTCTTCTTCGGTGGAAGAGGCCCCGGATCAACGCGGGGAGCCTTTCCTTTCTCTTCAGTAGAAAACTTTCTGATAGGCGCCATTGTTGTTGGCAGTGGAGCAAGGAGGAAGAAGCAAGCAAGCAAGGAAGAGATGGGCAATGGGGGCTCCACCCCCTCCCCATTTATAGCAAGAGAAGGCCAACCGGCGTCTCCCACGATCGCAGGTAATGATGGTTTTCCTTTGCATGTCACAGGGACTTTCCAAGTCGTGCAGTTGCCAACGCAGCGTGGGGAAGCGGAGACGCCCACGTCCAATCAGCCGCCACACGTCAATCGAGACCATAGGCTTTTGGGGGCCCGCGGTGCTCCGAACCTTGGCCATTGGCTTCGCTGCGAAGCCAAGCCCGAGCGCACCTTGGGCCCGGGGGCTACTGTCGGCGTTTTGGGAACGGGGGTCCCAAGACTTGCCTGCCTGCGGCCCGCGGCGTGGCTGAGCCTACAGGCCATATGACCCATCTTCACCAGCAAAGCATCCATGACCCTCGCGAGGCGGACGACGCAAGGCCTCCTCGGGAGTGTCCTAGCCAGGCAGGCTCACGAGGAGCGGAGATATCAAGGCGGGGCAAACCTCACGAGACCCTCGTGACGTGAGCCATGACGCACGGCACCAGGCACGCGCCAGGCGGGCGCCAGCGTGCGCAGCATTCTCGTTTCCTCTTTGATGCTAAGGAGGCTAGCGCAGGCGAGGAGTACCAAGGCATCAGACAAAGGTTGCTATATTGGTGCAACGAGACCAAGACCAGGAGGACGGCAAGGTGGAGGTCATCGTGGAGCCCAAGACGACGTCACCACCAGAGCCTTTGGCAGGCGAAGACCACTTTTGTCAGGATAGCTTGTACTAGTTGTCCCCCTTCGAATTAGCCCGCCATTGTTGGCTCCCTTCTCGCTCGATATTTTGGAAGAGGACCAGGTACTATATAAGTAGAGCTAGCCACCATAGTAGAGGCATCAGATCCTGGCTTGATCCAACCCGATCGAGAGCCTACTCACAAGAACACCTTAACCTCAGGAGGCCGTTCTTCCCTTGTACTGTTCATCATCAGCCCTAGAGGCAATCCACCACCACCACACTGGAGTAGGGTATTACACCACAACGGTGGCCCGAACCAGTATAAATCTTGTGACTTTTTGTGTTGCGAGTTGGTCGAGTTCGTCTAGATCTTAGTGAGTTAGGACGTAGATTGGTGGGAAGGAAAGACTTCGCGCGCACCCTAGTGTTCGAACCTTAAGGGTTTGCCGGAACCCCACATCCGACACCATCCCCCCGACACTCTTTTCTAAGAAGCATAGAAACATCGAATACTTCATGCTTAAGCTATTTCCTTTTCACTGCTGTTTGCAGGTGATGCTAAAACTTGGTTCAATAAATTACCACCTAGAAGTATAACTAACCATAAAGATTGTCTCTTTGCTTTTATGGATAAATGTACTGCCTTTACACAAGTACTCCCTCCGTCCCAAAAATCTTGTCTTAGATTTGTCTAGATACGAATATATCTAATACTAAAATGTGACTTGACACATCCGTATTTAGAGAAATTTAAGACAAAAATTTTGGAACGAAGGGAGTATCATGTTGTAGTTAGAGATATTCATATTTTTTTTTCAAACCCACCACAACATGGACGTTCATGAAGAAATATATGATTGGGGTATATGATTGCCCGACCTATTCTTGCGAAATAGTGGGCCTGAAAAGATAATTAGGCAACAAGGACTCCGTGGCCCAATGGATAAGGCGCTGGTCTACGAAACCAGAGATTCTGGGTTCGATCCCCAGCGGAGTCGATTTTTTATTTCTTGCGCGCCATTCCGTTTGCCGCGCGCACAGCCAAAAGGCCTTGCCGCCATTTCGCAAAATTCCCCACCAAAACTGACCACATCGCCCGCGCTCTCTCCCTCTGCCATTTTTTGCGGCCTGAAGCGAAGAAGACGAGAGGAGATGGCGGCGAAGGAGGCTGACGGGGACCGCTTCATCGAGATGGTATCGGCGGGGGCGCTTTACCGCGGCGGCGAATGGGAGCGCAAGTACTGGAGCTGCTCAAGGGTTTGCTCTCCGTCCCTCTTCCTCCCTCCCCTAGGGTTCGCGTCCTATTCCCAATCGAGGCATCGTCTTCCCCTTTGCTCTCTCAGGTCTCGTCAGTTGAATTTACATGTGGAATCCATGGTCGGTGTACTCCCTAACACTTCACCTCTCCTTGTTTGCTCACCCAAGGGCAAAGATCGGTACCCGTACCCAGTGGGCTATCACGCCGTCCGCCATTTCTCCGGGATATCGTACGCCATGGAGATCCGGCAAGGACCCAGAGGGCCTGTATTCCAGGTTCACACAAACAAACACAATCTTCTGTACTACTCCTACCACTGATTACCACCTTCTGCTGCCTGGATGGTGACCCACTGCAAACGAAATCAACAGTGATGGGCTCAATCTGCAGGTCACATCCACCGAGGGAGATTGCGCGACAGGCCAGACACCGGATATAGCTTGGAAGAACTTCCACAAGAAGACAGGGGCCAAAGTCAGGGACTGGCAGAGGCTGGGGAGCTTCCCTCAGAAGATTGACGGTGTCGAGGCATGCTCTTCATATCCATTTATTTAGTTACATGAACCTGTGCATTGCAATGAAAATGTTCCTTCCTAGTTCGCTTTTCCCAGGAAGCTCATGGCCGAGGGCATTGCCCATCCCCCTGTACACTTTCTGTAAAACCATATATGGACATTTAACAAGTTATAGATGGTTTGCCATCACTCACATCAGAATCTACTGGTATGACTACAAGCATAACTTTTTTTTGATGTATGACAAGAAAGGAACTATGTAGACAGATAAACAAGTAACAACCACTTTGGTGCAACCAATTGAGTACTACAGCTCCAGGGCCCTGTCACGTTCACAGAGTTATATCATTTGAATCCAGATAGTTGTTCCAACATGAGTCAGCAACCTACACTGAATCAATATAAAGCAGACCATGACCATTGCTATTCTTGATTCTTGTTAAACTTTTCAATAGACCATAACTGAGTGCCTTCAACACTGTTTACCATAGCCAGATTATAAATGTTTAGCTTTGCTGTTGTCTTGTGCAGCTTTTTGGGTTCAAAAATGCATCTGTTCAGAGACTGCTTCGTCAGCTTCTAGTAGATTCGACTGGATTTGGAATAGACATGCCTTCTCCAAAAATTTATGGTGCTGCTTCACCGTCAACTGATACGGTTGCAGCTGATGTTTCTGATGATCACAAAGAGCAGCATGTTTGTTTGGACAAGACAGTTGTAACTGCTAAAAGAAGTATGAACCCGATCCAGGAGGAAGGTACTGCTAAGAGAGCCCACAACCAGGATATGTTGACTTCAGTTGATAACAGCACAGTAGAGTTGGATAAATCTGCTCGTCAAAGTTTCAACAAGGTATGTTGATTTTTTTAGGATTTCCCCCTTGCAGTATACTTAATGTTTGACTACTTTTGACATTATATTTGTTGGTTCAACTGCAAAATAAACTACATCACAGCTTACCGTGGATGAAACTATCGTTCGTTGCATAGGATGTGGTCCACCATCAGATATGGTGCTTGCTTTTAACTTTTTTATCTATACTCCACCTAGATCATATACTTAATCTCTTCTACATCAACAAAGTAAATGTCGTACATTATCCACTGAAATGGATGGTTGGAGCTCTCCTATTCATCCCATAGAGTTCGAATGTTAGAGGAACTGACCGAGAAAGAAAAATAGACCACTAGTGTCACATAGTTTGTTTGAATTTTCTGTTGTTTCAGAAAACTTTATTTCATGAGTATGACGTTGAATGGTTAGCATTAGCTGACTTTGAGGTAATTCTTTCTAGCTTCAGGAATTAGAATTGCGCTCTAGAAAGCCATATATTTTTTAATTTGATCTTAAGGAGTTACAGAGCTTTGCGCACTGAATACCATCTGGCAATATCCCTTTTATGAAAATAATTCTTTCTAGCTTCAGGAATTAGAATTGCGCTCTAGAAAGCCATATATTTTTTAATTTGATCTTAAGAAGTTACAGAGCTTTGCACACTGAATAGCCATCTGGCAATAACCCTTTTATGAAAATAATGAAGGGCAAATTTTTGGATCATAGCTGTTATACTTATAGCCTGGATGGGAATATGTCTTGGTTTTACAATGAAGAAATTATTCTGTACCCTAGCCAGGATATTAAGGACTTAAATGTTGATTATCACGTTCTTAAACTCTGTCATGTTTTAGCTGCTGGTTAGATGTCTACCTGCGTATTCTTTTAGCAGCTCTGAATTTTGACTCTAGTTTATAGTTGAAAGGCCAGTATTTGATAACGACATTTACTTTTCAATGTTCAAGGGAGATCCTGTAAGCAACTCACAGTTGTCTGTTGTTTCTACTCCAATATGCATGCCTCCATTGCTGGAGGAAATACCCTGTGATTCAAAATGCACTCTGGTTAATGATAATTTGGGAGATTATGTTCCAAATTCATCTCAGGAAGATGGTTTATCTTCCAGTTCTTATTTAGGCTCTGAAAAGTCTGACTTGGAAGCAGCAGAGAAGGAAGTAGCTAGGTCTATGATGACATTTTTGCTTCCCCAAGCTATCCCCCTTCTGGAGAAAACTTACAGAAGAAGGAAGGTTAAGCAAAAAAAGAAAGAAGATGCAGTTTTAGCGAGAAGTGTTGCAGCTCAAAATCCCTCTGCTGATGGTTGCAAAGGTAATTATTGTTCATTCTATAGGAAATATATGTTCCATTGACCCATTTTACAAAAAGATAAGTATATCTTCTGTAGAAATTTGATTTATCATAATCAAGAAATATCCCTTTTTTGGAAAAGCGAAACTTTCTTTGGCAAAGCAGCTTACAGAAATAAACCCTACGAGTTTCACAACATTTGACCGATAATTTTTCCCAGTGTGCAAGAAATATATGGTTCTTCTGAACAGTTTCTTGCCTTCAGCAGGTGCCACTTCGCCTACAAGTGTTGGTGAAGGGAATATGAATGGCTCTCAAACACATGTACACAAGGAACCTCTGTGTGAGGCGGTTAAAGACATCGGTCCTAATGATGATTGCATGAAAGAACAGATCTCTAAATCAGACGACATGAAAGCCGTTGTCGCAGATAGTTTTGAGGATGATGGACAGATTGGGGGTGACAGCAGATCCAAACCTACGGGTGCTCACCATGAGTTTGATGATGCATGCTCTAAGGAACCTAACGAGAACTTAAAGTTGTTAAAGAGCACAAGGGAAAGTCATGCTCAATTTTCTGAGAGTCAGGTTGAGGTACACAATAGAAAGGATATTCCTGATGTAGTATATGATCATGAGAAAGGTCAGTATGTTTTGTCTGATTCGCTCCTTGCTTGTCTAGAGGAAGAGTTTGGCATGGATGATAGTTCCCACCCCGCGCACTACAATCATGGTAACAGCAATGTTGAACCAGTGCAACGCCAACAGCAGTTGAAGGACCCAAAAGAAGGCAACAATGGCTCTTCAATATCCACAGACAGGGCAGGTGACAAGAACATGGGCAATGGACACGATGTTTCTCATGCACTTTCAAACATTAATCATGTGAATGGTCTACTATCCAAACACCCAGGAACATCAGCAAGAGGATCAGATCATCATCTAGAACTTATGGGCTGCTACCTGCACCCGATGCCCGTCTTGTCTATCATGCTGAACACCAAAGACAGTAGCAGCTTACATATTTATGTACTTTGTGGATCTTCAGAGAGCTGTAAGAGATTTCTCTACGTATATGACATCACTCTTAATGATCACCATGAGAAACCACCTAATTTTGTCGGTTACACTACCCTTCTACTACCCTCATTGGAGCAGGCTTCTACCGGGAATGTAAGAGCTTTCTATGTATAGAACTTTTTGTCAGTTAAGAAATAATATTCATTTGTATGATACTTTTTCTTTTGCTTCAGTCTACACTTGGAAGATCCGGGATACAGTTTACACCTGATGGGCAGTTTCTTGTCCTCCTTAGCAGTATACGGATACCATGTTGCAGGTTGTAATCTTATCCTTTTGTGCCATGCAGGAAATGTTTGACACGCCCTTATATTGATGCTAATCACATAACTTATTGACAGGATGCAAAGCATTGATTGTTCATGCTCCTTGTGTAAAGTGGATCAGTGCGGTGACAATTCTCTGAAAATTGTATCTGTTAACTTGGGCTACATCTCGCTGTTGACCAAATTGATGCCTTCTGGGACAGTGTCTTGCTTTTTGATATCTGAGCCAAATTATGTTGTAGCAGCGGAAGACAGCAGAAACTTGCATGTATGGATTATGGTCACTGGATGGAGGTACAATTGCTTATAAGCATTAAAATGTTTCCTTTCTCCCAAATTTTACGGCCTGCATGGTGTGACACATTTCCAGTGTTATTTGTGTTGTTAAATGTTCAAATGACTGCCACATTATTCTTTATTATACAAAGGTTTGCCTTGTTATATTGTTGTAAGCTTAGTTATCTGGTTAATGCGTATCAACCCATTTTTGTTATATGAAAGTTGGAGGCATCACGTTCATTCTGAGATGAATTTCTTATATTCATCATAAAACAAAGAAAACTACTCAACTTATTTGGTTGCAAATTAGTCATGTATAAGAAAAACATTGCATTCATTAACAACTACAATTCTGTTTTCAGTTATAGGGCTCCTAATATATGTATATAATATCTCACCATACTATTAGAGTTGTGGCTACTTCATTGTCATATAAGCGGCTATGTAATTATCTATTTGTACTCTACCAAAGTACTAAGAGAGTGAACGTTCTGAAATGATAAGGAACTTGCGCTAGATCTTTCTAGACATAAACACACCAAATTCCTATGAACTTGTTAAAACTTTTAAAATGTTTATAAAAAACCAATGTATGCTGAAATATTTTATTGAGTTCTGTATAACATCAAGAAAGAAGTTGCCTAAAGATCTGACTGGCTCTTTTTATGTTCTACTACTCTTCCTTCACTGAAAGACAATTCATTCTATTTGATGATAAATTGAAGTTGTTCTGTTGCATATTTCCTTTTGAAAGTGTTTGTGCTCCAAAGTTGTGAAATACAACTCTAATGTTCCAATAAGCACTCTAATATTATCTCAAATTTCGACTTAAAGAGAAAAACCATCTATGCGGAGGTTTTGTATAAGCGTACTTTGTGACAATTATATGTACCACGTCAGGTTCTGTTACCAGAAGAATAACAGAACGACGAACACAACCCCGAGTACATAGGTTCAATGCACAAATCAATCAGATAGTTTATTTTTTGCTGCCTGATGGCTAACGAGACCTATGTAGTTCTGAACGAACAACAAAGACATTGCTGTTTTTGTTTCTGCCTTGTAGATGCCCAAGTAAATGAATACATGTTTTGTCAGCTGCACTTTTTTCATACTTGCAAAGTATTTTTATACTTACGATACTTTCAGTATATTTGCAATGCATTAGTTGTTACTAAGTTCATGTTGATGTTGCCTTTTGCTAGACATTCCTATTAGAGATGCATTGTATTCACAGGATGTCTCTTTCTGACTTAAGATATACACTTGAAGATTGCTGTACTAACTCTGGATGGATGTCAACTAATCACAGTATTGTGTCTGTTTTACAGTGTGATCTCTGAGGAGTATGTCATTTCTAGTTCCGGTAATGTGGGTCCCTCAATACTGGAGCTTAGAAAAATGCCAAAAAGCAGCTCTCTCATTATTGGCCATGATGGCGCAGGTGGCTTTTGTTTGTGGTAAGTTACGATCCTTCCCTCTTGACTGTTGGACATGTGTCGAATATATGCGTACGAGTTAGGCTATAGTTGGACTTGTAATTAGCGGAGGGTTATGTGCTTGAGTCGAACCGTGTAACCTTGGCCTATTATATAAAGCTACCGCAGGGTAGCCAAAATAGACCAGACAAAAGCTGGTAGGCTAGACAGAGATCACGAAAGGGGCGGTCTGGTCGGACATGGCGGGTGGTCGGAGACGCTGTTGGATGACCTTGGTGGGCTTGCTGTCGTTGTACTATATGATTTAGTACATGGGGAGGAGCGCCCATAGTCATGCCCGGGGACGTAGCCGATGTTCGGTGAATCTCGTTAACAAATCTAGATGTCGTTACTCGTGCTTGTGTTTGTCCTTGTATAATCGACCGCACCTCGGATTTTCTAACATAGACATCATTATCTTAATTTTGTCACTATGGGGTTGGATGATGTGCCATGCAACTATTCTTGCATGAACTTTCATCGGTATCTTCTATGTGAGACACTAAAGAACCAGTTGCCAAGTGAGGGCCAAATTCAAGGTTCAACGAGTCTAAATACAATAGTACGCCCTACTTTTACAAGCAAAACAACTGGTACTACTATATTAGAAAACGTTATGTGAACGTCTCATTAGAAAGCCTCCCATGTTCAAGAGCCAGTGCTCTTTGAGTGGTCAAAATCCAAAAGACAAATTGGATATTGGAGAATTCAGCAACTGTAGGAACTAGCAACGAGCTATAGAAGTAGATTAGAAGGAGACAGCTAGGATTATCATAGGCTTTTCCCTGATAGGCGAATCAGCACTAGTGTGTGGTCTAAAGTGAAAGATGATATTTTTGGTAGAGTCGAGAAACTGGGAAAACGACGGTCAAAGAAACGAAAACGCTCTCGCCCGAGCCGCTCCCGCGGGCGGCAGGGCGAACCCTAGCCGCCGCCGGACCGCTCCTCTTCCTCACCTCTCCTCCTCATTGCCGCCGGGCGAAGCTCGGTTGGTGTCGGCGGCGGTGGGATCCTCTGGCCTCCCTCCCCTGTTGCTCGCGGCGCGGGCGCGGCGGCTTGGCAAGGACGCGTCGCTCGCGCGGGGCGGGGTGGCTTGCCGGTGGAGCGGCGGTGACTGCGCGGTGGTTGGGCGGCCAGCGAGGTGGAGTTGGCGGGGACGGCTCTGCTGCGGGTGGTGTCGCCGCCGGCCCAGATCCCCTTGTCGGCCGGCTCGGGCTGCGGCAGCTTGGGCCGGAGGGCACATTGCCTTGGCTGGCTGGTGCTCCGGCGAGGATGAGGGGCCTCCTGCTGTTGGCTGGCGGCGGGAGCAGCTTGGGGGGTGGAGTGTGGCGGCACGGGGGCGGGCTGCGGCCTCGGTGGCGCGCCTCTGCTGTTGCAGGGCAGTTCGGGGCTCCCCTTGGGGTCTCGACGTGGATTTGGGCTGCCATGGCGTGGTGGTGGCTCATAGCGGTGGTTTGGGGTGGCTCACAGTGGCGGTTGGACATCTCTGGCGTTGGGCCGTCGGTGAACGGCCTGTTTCGGTTCCGACCCCTCTCGTCGTCGTCCGGGCACTACCCTCGTTGAAGGGCTGGCCTTCTCCCAGCCGCGGTCCAGTGCTCGTCTCGCGCCCGGCAGCAGGACCGAGCTCGTCTCGCGCCCGGCAGCAGGACCGAGCTCATCTCGCGCCCGGCTGCAGAATCGAGCTCGTCTCGCGCCCGGTGCAGCAGGGCGGGTCGCCGGAGGCCAATTTTGGCCGGCCTATTGGGTCTCGGCGCTGGGGGCTGCCCAGGGGTGTGAAAGGCGAGGCCTTTCCATTCGTCTCTTTGGTTGGGGTAGCGACGGGTCTTGGGTGAGATGGTGTCAAGGTCTTGGATGCCGGGGCGGCGGCCCTGGTGGTGGTAGCGCGATGCTCATGGGCAGAGCCCGTGGCTTTGTGCTGTCCGGTGACCATGGCCGTGTGGGCGGCATGGTGGCTGGGGTGTGGCGTTCGGTGGCGGTGAGTGTTGGCCAGGGTGAAAACCTGTTCTATCTTCGGACGGACCGGCGGCGGCGTAGCGCGTTCCCTTGAAGGCGTCGTTGTGGCTCTCATCGATCATCGTGTTGCTCCAGGGGAAACTCTGATCCTCGGGTCGGGCGGTGGCGGCGCGTTAGCGTCGTAACCTTCTTGAAGGCACCGCCTTGGAGCACACGGTTCGTCATATGCGGCTTCTGTGCGAACTAGCGGAACGTCTTGCCTTCTCGGGCCGACGGCTTCATGTTATATAGATGGGGCGCACCTCCCATAACAGCGCATACATTCGGTTGAGATTACATACTTGGAGATCAAGAAAGGAGATAGAGATAAGAAGTTACATGAGATAAACATTATACTCAACAACCTAACCATCTCCTAAGATGCGCCTGTCATGTATGTTTAACACCCTCCCTTAATCACAACTCCATTAAGTTGAGATTATACTTGAAGTTTTCAAAGCTCTTGACAGGCAATGCCTTTGTGAATCCATCCGCAATTTGATCACTGGAATGCACAAAACGAATGTCAAGTTGTTTGTGAGCCACCCTTTCTCTGACAAAATGAAAATCTATCTCAATGTGTTTGGTCCTTGCATGAAACACTGGGTTAGCTGAAAGATAGGTGGCACCAAGGTTATCACACCACAAACATGGAGCTTGTTTACTCTTTATACCAAGTTCCTTGAGCATGGATTGAACCCATATGATTTCAGCTGTGGCATTTGCCAAAGCCTTATATTCTGCCTCTGTACTAGATCTGGAGACTGTAGCTTGCTTGCGAGCACACCATGAAATTAAGTTGGGTCCAAAGAAAACAGCAAAACCACTAGTAGAGCGTCTATCATCAAGACAGCCTGCCCAATCAGAATCAGAGAATGCATTGACAAGTGTAGAGGATGACTTGCTGAAATTAAGACCCATGCTTAATGTGTTTTTGACATATCTAACTATCTGTTTGGCAGCAGTGAGATGAACAGTTGTAGGTGCATGAAGGAACTGACATACTTTGTTGACAGCAAAAGAAATATCAGGCCTAGTAAGAGTAAGGTATTGAAGAGCTCCTACCAAGCTTCTGTATTTTGTGCTGTCCTCTTGAGTCAAGAGAGTTCCTTGTGTGAGATAATTTTTCTGAGCTGGATAGTGGAGTAGGTGTAGGTTTACAACCTTGTAGACCAGCTTTTCTTACCAAGTCAACTACATACTTTTCTTGGGAGAGATGAAGTCCATCCTTGTGCCTCTTTACTTCAATCCCAAGAAAATAATGCAAGTCTCGAAGATCTTTCAAGGCAAAATCTGCACTCAAATCTTTTAACAGTCCTGTGATAGCTTCATCAGATGAGCTTGTCACAATAATATCATCAACATATATTAGGACAAATATGCATGTATTGGACTTGCTGTAGATGAACAGAGAGGTGTCAGACTTTGAAGGAACAAAACCAAGTGTTTGCATTTTGTGACACAGACGGGAGTACCATGCTCTTGGTGCCTGTTTCAAACCATAAAGTGCTTTGTCCAACTTGCAGACATGAGAGGGTGCACTTTTACTTATAAACCCAGGAGGTTGTTTCATATATACCTCCTCTTCCAGAACACCATGAAGAAACGCGTTCTGAACATCAAGTTGCCTGAGACTCCATCCCCTGGAAACAACGATAGACAAAACAAGACGGATAGTGGCAGCTTTAACAACTGGACGAAATGTGTCCTCGTAATCTATGCCATACCGTTGTTTAAAACCCTTTGCAATGAGCCTAGCTTTGTAGCGATCAATAGTTCCATCAGATTTCCTTTTGATTCTGAATACCCACTTGTAATCAATTAAATTTTTACCTTGCTGTGGGGGAACTAAATGCCAAGTTTTATTTTTCTTGAGTGCCATGTATTCTTTGTTCATAGCATTTTTCCACCTTTCATCACCAAGTGCTTCCTCAAGCGTCTGTGGTTCACCTGTAGAACAAACCATACCATATTTGGTTATGTGTTTATAATTAACGGGATGTATTACCCCATGCTGTAGTCGTGTACGTCGTGACGGTGCAACAGCGGGATCCCTAGCCACAGAGAATCCCGGAGCAGAAGCTCCTGTAGCAGAATCTGCTCCCGTCGGATCTTCTATGGCAGTTTGATCAGGTGCAGCATCTTCAGTTGGCGTAGAAGATCCCGGGGCCTCATCATTGGTGGATGATGGCGTATCCGCCTCGGGTTGGGCGCCAGTCAGGTGCGTGGACGCGCGCGTAGTCCGTGCCAGATCCCATAGCAGGCCCGGGCCCCGTGTCAGACTGGCGAGTCGGGTCGCGCCGCTTGTACGTGACTGGCTGGTCACGGAATCGCGCGCCGTCCTGACGAGCCGCGGGCTGCCACGTGCCGGACGAGGGTTGGCGCGGAGAGAAGCTCGGGCCGCCACCAGTTGAGGCGTGACGCGTGGCGTGCGCTGGGCTGGGGACAGCAGCGCTGTCGCTGGCGCATCTGCCAGCGCGGATCTCGAGGGGGATCGACTGAACTGCGGCTGTGGAGCCGATCCCGAGGAGGATTTGCCTCCTGGATGCGGACACATGTGATATTGAGCTGCCGGCGCGTTTTTTTCACTGATTTCTCCATTGTTTTCACTGTTATCTCCTGTAACATCATCAGAAAACTCATGCACACCATTAGTAGCAGGATTAGTCAACAGTTGATCATCATAATTCGAACCCTCTTGATCAAAGGTGGTGAGATGAGTGGGCAGGAGGAGAATTTCTTCTCGGAGGCGAGCACCGGCGTTTGGATGTAGGGTGGCGAATGGAAATTTTGTTTCGTCAAAAACGACGTCACGAGATATATAGACACGGCCAGTGGATATATCTAAACACTTGACACCTTTGTGGTGAGGGCTATACCCTAGAAAAGCACATTGCTTTGAGCTAAGCATGAGTTTTCTTTTATTGTATGGGCGAAGATTGGGCCAACAAGCACACCCAAACACACGAAGAGATTTATAGTCTGGTTTTGTGTGAAGAAGTCTTTCTACCGGAGTTTCATTGTTGATGACTCGACTAGGGAGCATATTAATGATGTGGACAACGGTAAGAAAAGCCTCATCCCAAAACTTGAGGGGCATGGAGGCCCCTGCCAGGAGAGCTAGCCCGACCTCAACTATGCGTCCATGCTAGCAGAGCCATTCTGTTGATGGGCATGAGGGCATGATACATGGTGTGATATGCCAAGTGTTTGGAAGGAGTTTAGTTTTTCATACTCCCCCCCCCCCAGTTCGATTGGACTGCAATAATTTTGCTATCAAATTTTCGTTCAACCAAGGCTTGAAAGTTTTGAAAAACTTGAAAGACATCGGATCTCTTTTTGAGGAGGTAAATCCATACAAACTTGCTATAGTCATCTATGAAGCTCACATAATACTCATGTCTACCAACAGAAGTGGGAGCAGGACCCCACACATCAGAGAAGATTAATTGAAGTGGTTTGGTAGAAACACTAGTAGATATTGGATAAGGTAATTGATGACTTTTAGCACATTGACAGGAATCACAAATAGTTTCGACATTTCGCTCACCAACAAATGAGAGTTTATTTTTCCTAAGCAATCTTTCAACTAAAGAAAAAGCAGCATGCCCTAATCGATCGTGCCACCGTGTTGACGAGACTTTGACAACACCATTGGCTTGTTTATTGAGTCTCCTAAGCTCCGGAATCAATGGGTAAAGCCCTCGAACACATCTACCTCGATAGAGAACCTTCTTCGTGGCCTGGTCCTTGATCAAAAAGAAATATGGATGAAATTCGAGGAAAATACGATTATCAAGGGCAATTCTATGAACGGAGAGGAGGCTTTTAGCAGCACTAGGGACATGCAAAATTTTCTTGAGATGAATTGAACGGTGAGGGGTACGAAAAATAGAATGACCAATGTGACAAATCTGCATACCTTCTCCATTTGCCGTGTGGATGTGATCTTTGCCACGACACTTTTCTTTCATGGTGACCTTCTCAAGCTCATTGGTGATGTGATTGGTGGCGCCGCTATCAACGTACTAATTTGTGTCGATGCCGTAGGATCCATCAGCCGCAGCAGCCACTTTTTCTTCATCTTGGGAGTCATCGTCATCTTCATCATAACGGTACCAGCAATCCTTCGCGGTGTGCCCTGGCTTACCACAAATTTGGCAGCGAGGCATCTCTGGTCGGGCCCGAGTTGGACCGCCGCCATGACGACCGTGGGATGCACCAGAGCGGCCGTTGCCGCCGCCGCTGTTGCCGCCACCACCGTATCCTCCAGATTGCCCCTTGGCGCGAGAAGAGCCACGACCATGTGATCCACCACCACGGCCACGCATCGCGGCGTTGGCAGAGGAGCGGAAGCCGCCGCTGCTCGAGTGATTGAACTGGGCCATGCGCTGGTCGAAGTTGCTGAGCATGGCGTAGAGCTCGTCGAGGGGGACCGGCGTGACGCGTGCGTCGAGGGCGGAGACGAGGGGCTGGTAGTCGACGTCGAGGCCGTGGATGATGTAGGAGATGAGCTCGTCGTCTTGGATGGCCTTCTCCGCAGCGGCAAGCTCGTCGGCAAGGCCATGGAGAGAGGCGAAGTAGGCGGCAACCGTCTGGTTGCCCTTCTGCGCGTTGATGAGCGCCGTCCTAATGTTGTTCACATGGCTCATGGACTGCGAGGAAAACATACCTGCCAACGCTGTCCAGAGCGCGTGCGCCGTGGTGACTGTGGTCACCGCGATGAGTACCTCCTTGGAGAGGGTGCTGAGCAAGTAGCTCAACACCTGCTGGTCCTCTCGGACCCAGATTGGGTGGAGAGGGTTGGGCTCAGCGCCTTCTTTGCCATCCTTGTCCTTGGTGACGTGAAGCCTGGCTGGCTCCGGTGTGGTGCCGTCGACGTAGCCGAAGACGCCGGCGCCGCGCAGGTGAGGAGTGACCTGCGTGCGCCAGAGCACGTAGTTCGTGCGTGTTAGCTTCTCGGTGACCTGCCCATTGAGGGTAGTCTGGGAAGCGCCGGAGGAGGAGAAGACATGGCTAGGCTCGTGTAGATGGGATCTCAGTAGATGGGAAGAGACGGGGCTCTGATTACCAAGTGCGAACTAGCGGAACGTCTTGCCTTCTCAGGCCGACGGCTTCATGTTATATAAATGGGGCGCACCTCCCATAACAGCGCATACATTCGGTTGAGATTACATACTTGGAGATCAAGAAAGGAGATAGAGATAAGAAGTTACATGAGATAAACATTATACTCTAACAACCTAACCATCTCCTAAGATGCGCCTGTCATGTAGATATGCGCCTGTCATGTATGTTTAACAGCTTCATCTCTTCGCGGTGGTGTGTTCACGGTGGAGGACCCCGATAGCTCTTGTAATGTTAGGGGTGTTGTTGTTGCGCTCAGCGCCTATGTATCCCGCCTTGGGTGTGTGCGTGTGTTGTCGTGGGATGCGTTTGTATTTGGGCTGTGGTTGATCATTGCTTTATATATAAAGCGGGGCGAAAGCCTTTTTCGGTAAAATGATATTTTGAAAATTAACATTTTAGAAATACTTCCATAAAACCTATGTGTTAAAGTTAATGAAAAATCCATATCTATTGCATAAGCATAACACTTTTTTTGCCAGCTCATATACTTTCTGTGCATAAAAAGCTACTGGCGAACGGATGCTCGTTATCAATGTTTGTGTGTGATGTCAGCCAGTGCATCTTCCTATCTGAATTTTGATTTACTTTAAGTATGGTGGTTTAGCTGGTCTACTACTTTTATGTATTCTCTTAGTAAACATCTGATTTGAGGGAGTCAACAATTTTCTTAGGGACATCTCCAAGCGAACACTTTTGTCAACTTTTGCAGCTCCAGGGAACATCGTCTTCCAGATTCTTCCTCTAGGCCTCTGTAGTTTACAGGAGGATGTCGTTCATTCTTCAGTTGATGACATAGAGAGAAGGTTACAAGAGATCACAGTGAGTGAGATGTCAGAAAAAGATGATGGTGAGTCCAGTCTGATGTTATCAGGAAAAGATATAGCGGTTTGGATTATGGTATCTTCTGCTTCAGTAGCTGAGTACCAACATGACCTTCAAGCAAAAGAACACAATGCTCGATGGAGGCTAGCTCTGCTGGCAAACAATAAAGTTTTAATGGGAAATATTTTTGATCCAAGGTATGCTCACTTCTCCATGTATAGTATAGAACGTTATGTTTTGATTACTGCATCTTGTCTACGGGTTTGAGTAGGTACCATCTTACGTCTGAAGGCTCCCTAGGGTATCCAATCATGGATATATATACATGATATATATGTATCCGGGGTTGCTCATGTGCTCCCTTGGTGAAAATCACATAAAAATGCATTAGATGACATTACAGAAATACTGGCAAAGTTCATAGATGTAATCTGGTGCTACGCTCAAGTGGACACGATAGTCATACCTATTTCAGCGTCATCGCGCATTGTGACCTTAATACCATGAGGAAACTAATTCATGGAGTTGTTGACTAGTTCCTCAAAAAGATAGGGTTAAACCACAAAGAAGAGTATATCTTGATGAATCATTAATCTTTGATCTCATGTTCAATGGCATACAATGTATTACTTGTACTCAGCCCGCAAAGAGTTCCCGCCTAGATTTTGTACAGGCCAAGGCAGGCCAACTGGAGTACTGTTTCCTAGGTGCATGCATACCCTGAATTATCCTCAGTGTCTTATGATACACATTTTGCTTGTCAGGGCTACTTCTGTAGATGCCTGTGGTAATCATGGATTTGCTGGAACACATGGAGGTTTCTTCTATATGTGGGAATTATCTTCTGGGAGAAAGCTTACCAGCACACAGTGCTTCAATTGTAAGTGACGTGAGACTATATCTTCTTAAAAATGTGCTGCTATTAGTTTTTTGAAGGAAAAATGTCGTGAAGCCCTGATGACATAAATTGGAACCCAAATTCATGCGATTTGAACCCAGGTAGTGGGATTATACATCCACTATCTGTGCTAATAGTTAACTAGCTGGACTTGTCTAAAAGGTCTTTTACTAGTTGGAATGCAAAATATATGTTAATCTGTTTATAGACGAGTGAGACAATGAGCGTTTGCTGCACTATCTTGAGTGAACAATAGGGTGTCTTTACATACCACGTAAGATATATTTCAGTGCCATTCTCTTTTGGTTCCACATTAATAACTAAGCTTCTAATAGTGTTGTAAAATATAGTTCAATGTGCAAGGTCAGTAGCTAAAATGTACTTATGCTTGTTCTCAACCTTTTCTGTTGATTAAATGGTTTATATCTGTTCAATGCTACAAGGTTGCCTGTTCATTAAATAACATGCTCATCTTCCCAACTTGTACAATCAGGTGCTCGAGTTTCCTGTGTTGCTGTTGATGCCAAATCAAGCGTAGTGGCAGTAGCTGACGATGGCTGCCAGCTATTACTTTACGCTCAAAAGAGGGTGTAATGTAGCTGTGGCCAATCTGTTGAACGTTTGTAACTGTACAGCGCTAAGCGCTTACAACTTACAGTTGTCCTCTGCACTTCAGCTAACAGTTATTTATTGTACATAGCTCATCAAATCTCAAGTTCCGTAGACTTTTTTTGTCTGTTTAACCATCTCCCAGATCTACCATGATTTTAACGATGAGTTTGTGAAGTTTCTCCCCTTGAACTTTGCATCTTCCTAAGTCTTATCATACCGGTTCCACACACACATCTCTTGAAGGATGATGCCGATAATGATTGAGTGAACAAATTAGCATTATTGTTACAAGACTTAGTATGCAAAATTCTTACCTCGTTCACCTTTTGCAGCTCATGTGCATAAAAGAACTTAAGATTAATATGCCTGTAAGGTTATTCTTCACATAACAACACAAGCAACATTATCTTCATAGATAATTGTAGGGGTTTGTATGGTGTTCAACCCACATGTTTATGTGGCCGATCATCTGTCAAATCCTTACACACTCTCATAATGCTTCGTATAGTGCTATGATTTTTGAGTGATTGGTGGAAGTCGATACAAGATTTTGCTTGGCTGATTTTCAGAAAATGCAGTTCCACCACAAAGGAAAACATATACACTATGTGACTTAGAAGTATGCGGGTCCGACAGGTACCCAACATCGGCATAGCCTATAAGCGACATGTCTTGAATCCTTCTATAAAATAGACCAAGATCTTTGGTCCCTTCCAGGTAACGGAAGATGTCCTTGACGCCTTTTCAATGTCTCTTGGTAGACTCAGAATTGTACTTAGCAAGCAAATTGACGGTGAATGCGACGTCCGTCCATGTATAATTTGCGAGATACATGAGTGTTCCAACTGCACTTAGGTAGGACCGTAGGAAAATTCAGGTCACAGAATTTGCTCCCCTCTTCCTTAGGCCTGAATGGGTCCTTGTTTTGCTATAAAGATCTCCCGATCTTCGGGGTCTCAGAAGGATATGCCTTCTCAAATCCAAATCTTTCCAACACCTTCTAGGTGTAGGTCGATTGGTGCACTAAAATCCTGTCAGGGGAATGTTTAAGTTGCAAACCTAGACATAACTTGGTTTTAACCAAATCCTTCATCTTGAATTCCGAAGGAACTCCCTTTCTCAATATCCTCAAGTGTACCGATTATGTTTAAATTATCCACGTACACGGAGACTATACAGAATCCATCGGATCGTCGTATAAAAACACATGGACAATTTTCATTGCTCATGTAGCCTTTCCGATGAAGGAAATCGCTCAGGCGATTATACCACATCCCATTTTAGGAGCAAGATCCTTTAGTTTTTTGAGACAGATGTGTGCGCACATATCTCCGCTGGGTGTTTTCTCTATGGAAAAGTTTAAGTCCAGAATTTTGTGCACTGATTTTTTCATACTTGTGCTAGGTCCCAATTGGCTCTCCATTTCATTTTGGGGTACTTTGATGACAGGCTGTGGTAAATCTCTCTTGTCCTTTTTCGAAGGGCTTCCTCGAGTACTTATGATTTGAGAAACCTGATTTACACCGTAGCGTTTTAGTTTCGTGCGCGGCAACCATGAATTTTACTTGTTCCCGTTTCTCGACGTGACGACAAACACATCTTACCAGTCTCTGTATGGAGGCGATCTGCGATTGGCGTGGTTGCGTGTGCATCGGTAATATTTATCTCAAGGGCGCGGCCCCAGGCTGCTAACCGTCTCTATGGGGTGCAATGTTGGTGGGTTTTAGCCTCCATATTGGAGGTTCACGGTAGCACAGTTCGGTGATTGGATGTCTTGCTCGAGCGCAGAGGTTTGGAGTGCTCGACATGGCCCAAGATGGCATATGGCGACACATCTTTGAGTGTAGGGCGAGTTCCAGGGATGAAAACTCTAGGTCCGACCTTCATTAATTCAGCCTGGTGATGCCGTCATTGACATGGCATTCCATCATTGAAGGACCTGCATGGAGTTTACCTAGACTTTTCTCCAGGGTGAAAAACCATGATCTGACCTGAGTGGTTGGGTCCAGCAATGCGGTGCTTATGAGTCGTTACCATTCTAGATGCGTCGTTGTTGGAGGACCTATCTTGTTGCCTGGGTTGCCATAATTGATGGTTATTGCTCTTGTTTGCTGCAGTGGTTTCGTTGGTCATTTTTTTTTTGTATATTAATTTGGTTGTGGGCATTCTTGATGTCTTGAATAATTCTTGAGATTGTGTTGGTGTCGGTGCAACTAACATCTTGTTGATATAAATATATTCGCTTTGTCCAGAAAAAGGATAACTTTAGAAACAATAATCTCATAGACAAACAAAATTGGGTGCAAATCATGTAGGGGCTTATTTGCTGCCCAATAAGAACCAAAAGAAAAATACATTAGTGGCGAACATGTAGCATACATGCATTTTATGAAGGTGTAGTATAGTACACATAAAACATATAGTGTGCCGCTGCTAAGTGTTAACGTAATGGTATGACATGCCCATAATAAGCAGATTACATCTTGTATGGTCCTATATAACTTTGGCATGGCGTCGCGTGTACATACATCAGTAGAGGTGGGGCATGTGTGTGTATAACTTTTTATAAGGATACTGTGTAGAGAATGGCATTTCGGCACATGGGAGCGCGCGCTCCTGGTTTTTAAAATGTGTTTTAAATATATATTAAAATATCAAAAAATTCCGGACAAAAACTTGGCGCGTACATCTCGATATTGTACATACTCACAAAGTCATTTCGCGGAAAACCGGCAACTTATGTGTTACATGTGAAAAAGATAAAATCCGGTGTTAAAAAATGCTTTTCACAAATCATTCTTTTGTCTTTTTTGCACAAGGCACATAAAATGTTGGTATTCTCCGAACCTTTACATGTACACACATAATGTCGAGATGTATGCGCCAAATTTTTGTTTGGAATTTTCTCACACTTTGAAAATATTTTTGTTTGGAGCACCAACTGATTTCCGTACAAAATATGATTACATTACTACTTAGTTACAAATTAATCTCCCGCCAGAAAGCAGTTACAAACTGTGTTAAAAAAAGGTTACGAAATAATCAGTGCTTACATTTATACACATGTTTTGCAGAGGTTTGATGCGTGGACCATATTGGTTCCGCAGAGAAGCAGCTATAATAGCAAAAGGAAAAGAAGAAAAAAGGTCAACAACTTGTGCAGTAACAGATACACACATACATGTACGCACGCAAATAATAAGAAATCAATCAGTATAAGTTATGCGCCCATCATTTCGTGATCCCTGAGCGTATTGTGGATAGGAGTAGCATCGCCGGTAGAGTCGGCGGGGGCTTCCGCGCCGGCTGCTGCTTCTCCCTCCTCCAGGAGGTACCGCCGGCCTGAGCCGTACCTGCATGCATGCGCCCGACCGATCCGTCCATTAAAATGGAACCTAGCTGCCATATACCCACGTGTCTTGTCTAACTAAACGCACGCCACGCGGGTACGTACCTGGAACTGAAGAGGTTCTGGTGGTAGCGATGAGCGGCGCTGATGATGTCATGGAGGGGGCCGCCTCGCCGGAACCGGGCCTCCTGCGAGCGCTTCATATAGTACTCCCCCAACTCACCCGTCTCCACGTTCGCCGTCGCCACCGTGGCGGCCACGAGCACCGTCGCGACCACCAGCCATGTCCTCGTCGTCCCCGGCATCGCCCCCCTTGATTCTTTCGCTCCTCCTCCCCTCCCTGCCAAGTGCTAGGCCGACTCCCCTAGATCCCTCCACATATATATACGCGCGCGCCTCCTGAACCCGTTCCCATCTATGGCTGGCCATTCCGTGCCTATGTTTGCATATACCTGTGTTTAGACGTGCAACTGACAATTCATTCACGTGTGGATCTCTTGCATGTTCCATAGCCATAGGAAGTATGTTTTTTGTGACCCAGAAATAGTAGACTACTGTAATTTTTTTGCGACGGACAAATAGCAGACTATTTATTGCATAGAGGTCTAAACTACATCAAGCCTCCGCGCGCCCCTCTCATAGACAATTCCATGCAACTACTGTTCATGAAAGTTATCTGTCGGATGTTGAAGCACCTGCTCGTGCACCATCTTCCCCTGCTGCAAATGCAAACGAACGAGGCAAATCAGTTCCCACGGAAGCTGGTCCAAGCACCTCTGCTCCTCCACGAAGTGCCCATGCTCCTAAAGCATATCATACGCCACTTGTTGGTCAGTTCAGAGATCCTCTGGGTAGCGCCCGTTCTGACTAGTACTACATTAAAACAATCGAGAATGCCTCTGTCAGACCTAATGCTGAGGCCCCACAACCCAAACTATGAGGAAGATACTGGTTGAAATGAAGCAGCAACATGCCAGGTTCTTTGCTTGGTCCAAGAAGTAATCGGGTCATTTCTTGATTGAGTTCAACTTGATCCACTACTATATGCAAGGTTGGACAGATTCTACACCGACGAGTGCTTCAACCGTCCGTGGGAAGTTCTATTGCAACATGAGACTGAAGATCAACTGAAAGCCAAAGGCTTCACTAAGAGCTACCAGTGTCATCTATAGAGATACTAAGCTCCCTCGAATTGAAGCGTTGTGGTGCTTCGAGGGTTGTGGAGGTCACTAGGGCCCCACACACGTAAGTGTTGTTTAGTTTTATTTCTTCCTCACTTTTTTTTATTTTTTCATGTTTTAATTCATTAGCACTTATTAAAATTTGTGCACTTTAAAAAATATAAACACATTTCAAAGTTCTTCAAATTCGTTAATATTGATTAAATTTGTGGATATTTTTAAGTTCACAGTCCTTTAAAGTTTGTGAATATTTTTTAATTTTAATTTTTTGTTATTTTGCAAATATTTGTCAAACCATGATTATATTCTAAATTCATGAATGCCACTAAAATTCATGGTTTTAAAAAGTCATAATATTTTTAAAGTTCCTTAAACATCATTTAATTTAACCAGTGTTGATATTCTGAGGGAACTTGAAAAATGTAGAAATGCTGAGAGTATCAATACGAATGAGC